AAAAGTTAGCGTGCACGACACGTTAGGAGGCCTTAGTCCTCGACGCGGGCAACCCTGGTTCGAATCTGGCCTGTGTCCTTTCTCTCATGTCTCTCCCTGTCTCTCATATCCCCTTTCCTGTCAGCCTACTGTCGAAAAAACGAGCCACTAGTGCCATAAAACAAAAAAAAAACAACAAAGTAATTGCCTTCCAAATCCACTTAATTACCTTGAAAGTGGCAAAACTTGAAGCAACATGCAAGATCTTCAGAGAAGAATATTTTGCTGTTTAGTGGAAGCATCTACTACAGCAGTTAATGAGGAGTTCAGGCATCCATCAAATTGACATTTTAATTGCAATTTGCAGATGACGGCCTGTTCTCACGTTAGACAGGGTTAACTCCCCACTATAAACTGAGAAAGGAGCTTTTTGAAAAGCAAGCGGAGGTGATTACATATTTTACTGCTGCCAGTGTCTGGGATTGATCTTTTTCTACCAATTCATTAACTGTTTTGTTATTTCAAGCAATATTTTGTAGCGAACTAGACAAAGGAATAAAATACTTCCATTTTTTCAACTGTTTAGAGGTTGGAAAACACGGTGCAACAGGAGATCGAGTCGGGGACCAGCACTGGAAGGTAAAGAGGTAGCAATCATGACATCCCAGCTGGTAAGTAGCATGAGAATGCAAACAGACAAGCAAGAATCATAAAATATTTAACTGAAGTCTACTATGTTCATAAAACCTCAGTTAAATGTTTGTAGTAGATTAACCGTGCGACAGAGGTATGAGTGAACTGATGCTCCACTGGAAATAGTGCTGAGCCCCTCATCGATCTACAGTATGTGTTTTATTCTGATGTCCTGTTTGCCGATACAGGACTGAGAATTAATGGCCATTTCTCCATACGTGTACTTATGTGTTGTCATGTGCTCATGACACGTCATCAGCCTCAAACCCAACATTGTTCTAATCCACAACAACACGAGACTGAGACTGAACAAACTCCCTTGATGTTGTTCTCGACCCTCCCTCTTTACTGAGCATAGATCAGAGCAGACTTATGCATTCTCTAATGGGCCTTTCAGACAGGCTGCGACGACCGCACTGCTGCACTATGAAACCCATTCTTTTCAATGGCTTGCGCCGTGCCAGGGCGGTTTATCGCTGCGTCGAGCAAAGCGCAAGCACAGCGCAGCGCACCACTTCGCGAGCTCACGCGCAGGCCAGGTCAAAGTTCAACATAGTTGAACATAGTTGAACTTTGACCGCGGGGTGCCGTGACGAATGCACGCATGGCCAATAGAAACCGGGCCATCGGCTGGAAAGACCAGGAAGCAAAATGGAGCAAAATTGGCTCCCGGTAATTTGTATGGATCCTTGAGATCCTTGGTCCGACTCTCCCCAGCAAACTCTCAAACTGCTCCATACTGAGCCGAAAGTAGACCTGGAACCGGTCGCTGTGAAAACGGAGCTCTTTCACAAGCCGGAATTCCCCAAGCTGCTCTCTGGACCTGAGGGTTTCGTGCACCCACAGCCTCTTCTTCCTTGCTGCTCTTTTTCTTCGAACTAGCAGGGCTAGTGCTAGCGCTTGCTTCTTAGCACGGGTCGGATACATATTTGCTGCTGACCAAAAGCTGGAACAACAAACAAATGACTAGACCCGGCAACCCAGCCGGGGCAGCGCAGCGCAAATGCGCTAAACCCCGCGGCCAGCGCAGCGCAAATCGCTTCCTATCTGAAAGGCCCATAAACCGACAGCTGTCCCAGCATGCATTGCAACAGCAGCAGCTTCCAGCCTTGCACTCACAGAGCCCAAAGTATCAAGTTTAAAATTTACTCTTCTGTTGCCATTGTTCTACAAAAGTAATTTTTAAGATCATTTGAGGCAAGAACAGTACTTTTTAGCTACTCTATATGGACCAAATGCTGATTTAGTGCGTAAGTTGAGATGCTGCGATGACCATGGCAACCAGCGGAGTTCCATGGCTAATGCAGCCAGGGCGAACGTTAGCCCCTTTGCACAAGCCCTCTCTCGGCATAGCGGTGTGTAAAGTACCGCTGGCTCTGATGGCATTTTTTTGTTTAATTTTGCAAAATTTTCATTTGATTTGTGTTTATCTGACTGTGTTAACCATTATTCCCCCACTAAATGAAAAGGTAATGAATTATTTTTATTTATAGACTATTAATAAAAGGAGGTGAAAAGCAGGTCCAGACAACCCGAGCCTCTGGGTATGTAATGAGTATGTTTCTGCTCCAATTGACACAGACTTGTTCTGCATGCTCCCATACTCCCCAAGTGCATACTTTCTAATGTTCTTGTCAAGAACGTACTTGACAAGAAAACAAGTCTATATTTGCGTTCCTGTGAAATGAGAAAAACTGCCAATGTCATGGTGGTGGATAATAGCCCAACAGATTTTATGTTAGAAGTGGACCATCGTGGCTGCTGTCATACGGTTCCACTTGATATGAAACTTTATTAGATGTGGAAGGGAGGAAGGGAGAGGGGATAAGAATTAAGTGGAAGAGAGAGGGTGGGGATGAAATTAATAATAACTCCCAGAAGTCTGCTTCCACATCTGCAAGAGACGAGAAGGAAAAGAAGAAAAATAAAACAAAAACATATGTCACACCAACCCCAACAGAAGAGGGAGTATGCCATGAACGAGCGATACAAGCATTGAGCTAAACGTATGATGAAAGAATATCATTTAGAAGCTTCTTCAGCAGGGGAATTTGCTCAACAGCAGGTGTGAGGGGCCCCAAACTTACCCCAAAAAGCAAAAGGCTGACGCCTACTGATACAGGATCTTGGACAGCCTTCCCTATCCTACTTAAAATGTACTTGGAGAACAAACTTTATACAGAGACCATCACAACAATAAGAACCCAAGAATATCTTGCTTTGATTCTTGAGTGCTAAATACAAGAGGTTTTGAAGACAAACACTGGATAAGAATAAGAAATATCACATTGAAAGAGTTTGATGGAAACACCAAAACTCAAATCAACTTATTAAATTTAGCAAAAAAAGTTTTGTTTTGAGGTGATTTGACAAAGTACCTAAAAGTTACCTGATTGCAACAATTTTATTAAAACCTTGGTCCATTACTGAGCTGTGGTCTAGTTTGCTACCTCTATTTCCTATTTATTAGCGTAACGTAACCAAAGCATAAAATTAGCATAAATTAGCATAATGGCAACATAGCATAAAATTATGTTTTACATTGCTTGGTTGACACACTTTTAATTCCATATTTTAAAGGTTTACTAAAAATGTGCATACTTGGATGAAAACAGCTACTGTTATGCCCTCTAGCACTTGACAGAGCTCTTTGAAAAAAAGAAAAGAATAAATAAAACAAAGACATGGGTATGCGGCTTTGCTGCTCTACCTTCACTAGGCTGTTATGTATAAATATCTGGTTTTACATCTATACTTGTCCTGTGAGAACCAATTCAAAGCACTGTAGCTAACAAAAGGAAGAAAAGCCAGCAAGGAAAGTTGGTTTCGGCTGTCCTAAAAAGTTTTGCAATTTCTATATGTTGATGAAGAAGACAAATCCTTATTTGCATATTTGATCATGCTTTGATTGCTTGCTGACTTCATCAACAAACTGTTATGAATCCAGTTTGTGTGGGTTGTTTGTGTGTTTTTCTCTCTCCACCACCAGGTGGCGCCCTGTCCTCGTTGGGCCTCCCTGCACACCTGTGGCTCATTGGATCATTACTGGAGGAGTATTTGAGCAGTGGGCTGTCACTACCTCGACGCCAGAGTGTTTGCCAGTTTTGGGTACTCTAGCCAAGCTGAGATTAGCAGAGTCTAACCAAAGCTTTTTTTCTCTGAGTCTTATCTATTTTTTGTCTTTGCTCTTCGGCAGGAAGCCTTCCTGAGTAACTGGATACCTGGACCTTCTCCTCCTGGAAGGATTAACTGAGTACACACTGAGCAGGGGAAAACCTCCACATGATCCGTTCAAGTCCTCATCCAAGTCCAAGTCCGCTCTTTTACTTCTCTGGGTCCAACGCATGTTTATCTGTCTGCCCTCCGACGAGTTCCCTCTTCTCTGGATTAACCCCCACAAGCTGGATTCAAGGATTGACAAGAGCCCCCTCAAACGTGTGTCCCTCTCCAGTATAATTCAAGCCTCAGTCAAATTTCCTACGGTCCCTGAACTGATCACTGTGATATCCCCTTCAGACTTTCTAGTTCTGGTTCGCCAGTCCACTGAGTTCCAGATCCAACTTCTGTTTTTCATCTTCATTTAATAAACCAGTTAAACTTTGCTTGTTGTTGGTCACTTAAAAAAACCCAAATAGTCTGAAAAGGTGATAAATGTGGAGCCAAATTCATTAAGTTTGCAAAGCTTGTTTAGTTCAAAGCTTACACACCTAGTAGGCTACCAGAGGGTAGTGTCCTGCAAATTTCAAATGCGTCTACATCTAAATCAAATGGCTGGATTACCTCAACATATTTCAAATAAGGTTTACAGGTGTTAGGAGCTAGCTGGTAAATATAGCAAATAGCTCAAACACCTAGCATATGTTATGTGTTATGCACAGGTGTTTGGAAAGAGAAATCTAAATTAGGGTGACCAGATGTCCTATTTTTCCAGACATGTCCTACTTTTCATATATAAAAAAACGTCCGGGGGGAATTTCAAAATCATCCGGGATTTTGGTCGATAACAGTGCAGCAGAACCGAGCCGTGAGCTCAGAACTCCGGCAGACGGGGGGAGGGAGCCAGCGGGGGAAGGAGCGACAGAACCCGACTGGTGACAGTAGTCGCGGCTAGCGTCACGGGGTCGGGTTCTGTCGCTCCTTCCCCCGCTGACTCCAGACCCGGACCAGCCCCAGAGCTCTGGGGCTGGTTCTCCTCCTCAGAAACCCAAATCTGGTCACCCTGTGTATATATTGCAGTATCCTAAAGGACTAGAGTTGAACAGATGTCGTGTTAAAGGAATTTTGCAAAAAATAATGACAGATTCATACAAACTCTTTTGTTCTCTTTATTAAATCTGGATCATTTCACACGCATGGATTTTTATATAAAAATATAAGTGATAATATTCACAATAAAAACACTTCAGTTCATTCACATACATACAGGGAATACGAGTGGTAACTGTCTGATATGTTATGAATATTTTGATCTTACTATGTCTAGCTAAAAGTATGTACAGACTAAACAAAAAGAATGGGCCTCTCTTTGATACACTTCAGCAGATAAGTTGAAGCTGCTGCCTGTGCCTCCAAACCAGCAGGGGGCACCAAGGAACATTCAAAAACTCACAAACAATTGAGTTGTCAAATCTAAATATAATGTTTTGTTACATCATGAAATGTAGGTATTTTTCTAAAAAATCTTTAGCAGTTGCGATTTGTACTTGTAAAATTTCTAAACGAGTTTTTAAAAATGTTGCAGGAGCATGTTCATAGTGTCAAGCTCCGTTGTAGAAGAAAACGTCAAACTTAAAATGTAAGTTGGAATTTTATACTAAATTTTATGTATGTGAGTACACAATAACAGCAAAAAAGGCCAGAATAAAGGTAAATTTAAAATGTGGTGGGGAAAACAAGATGTTGACGGCAACATGCTGCGGGGGAAAGCTTTCAGCATGCTAATTAAATGCCCAAAGCTGAAATGCTGTCAGAGCAATTCATTTTATGCATAGTTTATGTTCTTCACTTTTAACGCAACCAGTAATTATATTAAAAAAATATAGTCAAAATATTTTTTTTCTCTAATATAAATAAACCGAACAGAACAGAAAAACCCGCTATCCAAGTTACACTTTATATACATTTTTTTTTTTATAGTTAAACCAGTACTTTGATGGTGCCTATCTGGAAGTAGGGCTCCAAATTAAACTCTGCACAGGGCCCTAAAAAATCTATGGTTGGCCTTGGTTGGCAGGAGGGATTGCCAGCATAGTAGTTTTTATTGATTTCAGTGAATAAACAAGAAGACAAACAATGGTGCTTAAACAGATACTATAACAAGACACTCTCTTGCAATCATAAAAAGAATATGACATAAACCTTTTACCTACAGTCATAAAATTTATTTTAACCTTTCACTCCCATAAGAAGAGTAGTACATTCCTAATGGATAATTACTGTTTAGATTTGTTTATTGGATGTCCTTTTCACCTAACATGCAGCGGAATTCAGAAAACAAAAAAAGAGGATCAATCTTAAATGAAGCCACCATAGAAAACAGAGAATGTTCCCTTTCTTTTCTTTTAAATCACAGAACCTGTCTGGTGACATGGACAGAAAAAAAGTTTACAGGACGCATTATTGATGCGTGGGTACGAGATAGATAAGTTGTGACCAGTGTGCAATGATTAACCTTACATCCTCCTTTTTTGCCCCGATGATGTTCATCTGCCATTTTTTGGGCCTCCACCTATAACCATGCAGTCTCCTGGGTCCTTCCAGCTCCTTCTGGATCAAGTCAATAATGTGGCCAATGTCCGCATAATCTTTACATCTCAATTCGTATGCCTTCAGCACCTGAATTAAGTGTATCTTAGTAATGATCACTTAATGTTTAATTGCAAGAGATCACAGGATGTCATTATAGTTCATTCTAAGGTTTAATTAAAATGAAATTATGTCAGTTCTCCATGTTTCTTGAATGTATGCTATGCTACCCTCGCAAACAATTTGACTATCTTGTACCCACACCTTAGTAACGCATAGCCACGACTTAACATCTTGTAAACTTTTTTTCTGTCCATGTCATTTCTTAAATAAGCAAACATAATGGTAAATTGCACACTAGATTTCAAAAAGTAATTTCACAATAAGATGAATTAACAGTATTTTAAGTCAACAATTAAATAAAAGTTTCCTATTCTTCCTTCCTCCATTAACATTCTTCTATACAAATTCAAGATTTCAGATCAAACAGGATTCATCGGTTGCATTTCCTCTATCTCTATTTGGTGTGTAGAAGTTGGTCGATTCCTCCTAGAAAACAAAAACAGAAAGACAATTTTTGTCAGCTCAGATATTTAAACTTTTATATTTGCTAAATGTGCTCTTAAGATCATCTTACCTTCGACATATTGAGAACACAACACCACTAACAGCAGCAAGTAGGACCACCATGGATACAGTGATACCAATGGTGTTCTGGGCTGCTTCAAACAGAAAAAAGAAAAACATGCTCAGATACAGTTCTTCCTCTTGTTAGCTTCTATAATATCAGTTATTTGCGCTCAGAATTGTTTCTGTGAAAAAGACAAACTAAACGCTGTTGCTCTTTGCTATAGGAGGGATTCTGATGCACATTTTTTACTCGGAATGAGAGGCTTTACTTTGCATAAGTGTTTTTTTTTTGTTTGTTTTATTGGACACATTTAAAAGACTGCTACCTGGAGTCATTAAAACTGCTTGGGTGTTGTCAGGATTCGTGGATACTTGTTACAACCAAAATCCAATCCTGTAGAGGCAGAGATGATTTTCTTACAAAATTTAACGAAGAAGTAAAAATGGAGATGCCATAATCCATGTTGTCTAAGGCAGTACGCAGAGAACTAGCAACCCCATCAACAACATCATCAACCTTTGAAGGGAAATAAACTAAACTTTTACCCTCTGCAGCACTGCTCAGTGACACAGAGGAGAGAGAAAGTGAAACAGATTGTTTAAAATTTATAACTGCATTATCTGATAATGATCTGCTAAAATGAAACCTTCTTTTGGGGAGGAGAACACTTTCTGCCAAAGTAATCCTTAAAGTTATTTAAAAAATGGTCAGAGAGGACAGGGTTGTCAGAAAATACTCTTATTTCTTCACATTAAATGCCATACGTCACTACAAGGTCCAAAGTATGAAGATAAGAATGTGTGGGTCTATTCACATTTTAAACAAAGCCAATAGTATCTAAGATAGCATTAAAGGCTGATCTTAAGCTATCACCTTCAATGTCAGAATGGATGTTAAAAACACCCACGATGATGACCATGTCAGTATTCAACACTAAATCAAATAGGAATCCCAAAATTCGGAGTAAGGACCTGGCGGACCATACAAAGTAACAAAAAGAAGAGGTTTTCCAGCTTTGCAGTTTGGATGAGGGAAACTAAGGGTTACATTTTCAAAAGAGTTGTAATTATTAACTGACTTAGGAGTGATTAGTAAGTCAGACTTAAATATTGTTGCTACTCTTCGTCGCATAGAATTTTTGGGTAAGTGAGAATTTCACATAATCCTCTTGCTGCAGCCAAGTTTCTGTAAGGCAACATAAACCAACTTGATTATCACAAATTAAGTCATTAACTAAAAGACTTTTTGAAGAAAGGGATGGTATGTTAAATAAAACACATTTAATACTTTTTAATTTTTCCCCAATTGGAGTTATTTTAATTGTAATTAGATTATAATTTTAGATTATGCTCGTTTAGGATTATTTTGTAAATTATTTGATTTTGACCGCAGGCCAGACACTGTATGGATGCAGTAATGAGTGGGTATCAGTGTGTTAAACCTGTTTATTTGGCAAATCTTCCAGATGTTTAAGTCTAAGATTTAAGTTATCGATTAGATGCATAATTAAAACATAGCATAGAGTTTAGATAGAGATATAAAAGGATATTAATTTTTGATTTTATTCTCAGAATTCTTGCTTTAATCTGAGAAACATTCTTAAAAAATTGTCTAGTAGTATTCCTACTCAAACTGGTAATCCTGGATTTTTACAACAGAGTCCTAAGGAAAAATTTTATTCTGAGATTAAAAGTCACAATTGTGAGATAAAAGTAAGAATTCTGAGATCAAGGCCAGAAATCTGACATTAAAGTTGAAATTATCAGATTAAAGCCATAATTCAGAGAATACGCTGAATTCTGAGCATAAAGGAATTCAGAGGTAAAATAAATAGAATTCTGAGATTAAAGTTAAGATTCAGTATCCTGTTTTTGTGTGTGAGTTCTTTATGCCCCTAATCCTCTGCTGTATATCCGTCATAGGAAATAAATGTACTGTTATTACGACTGAGGCACATTTTGTAATGTCGATAAGCTGTAGCTGCAGTGAGAGGTGTCCTCTGTCTGGTTACTGGTTGGCATGGACCTGAAACATCAGAAGTTAATCAATAGGCCCATAGTCTGACCTCTATAGAGGACTTGGTTAAGTGGATTAAAGTATAGCCATTTAAAACCAAGTCAGTATAAATCTACAAGTATTTTGTTTCTTTCTAATAACATGAAATGTGACTCAACTGCACTTTTAATTTTAGCTCATGGATTTTTTTTAAACTGAGAAAACTAGAAACCATGGATTTTGCAATAAAAAAGCAGATCAAACTCATAAAACTCACAGAAAGGCACATATGCCAAGAGGCTTAAAAAGAAGAATAGGAATGCTGAGTACACTGCCAATGATGATAAAACTTCTTGTTCACATGAAGAAATGCGGCGAAAAAATGTGGAAAGGAACAGAGCCAGAGTCCTCAGGCTCATATAAAATTAACTCCATTAATTGCCAGAAATAAATTAGACGGAAAAAAACAAGAGTTTGACATGTTTCACTTAAAGTCCTAAAGGGGAAAAAAAAGGTAAAAGCCTGAAGAGACCAACATACCAACCGACAGTCATTCTCTATCCACAGCCTAAACAGAAAAGGCCTTTGAAGCCTTCATGGAGCACCATGCTAATATTGACCACCAAGAAGGTCAACACCAGGCAGTGTTTCCCATTAATGGGAAGCACTGATGGTCTTTTGCGAATGATGTCATACACACTCCGCTTTGTTTAAAAAATATATAAATATAAAAATATAACCGTGGATGTCTGGGGGACAGTGATTCGCTTACATGTTTTAAATGCTGTTGTACCATAAAGAATAAATTATGAACAGTTTAGTTTGTGCTTTTAAGTCGTTTGTCCGTAGGAAGACATCACTTGGATATAACCTAACGGAATATCTTCAGAACAGCTCCAAATGACACAAACCTCATATGGGTGAGTAGAACATGATGTAACAACGTAAAATCAAGGGCCCAATGTAAAAAATCTGGCGTTCCCCTTTAAGTGGGATACACCAAGCTTAAAAATGTGCACACATGAAAACCCCCGAGGGCCAGAGACTCTCCCACCAGTCTCCTAAAATCCTGTGGGAAACACTGCCAGGCATCTGTTCACACCACAGCTAATCATTTTCATGGTATTAGACACAAGCTCCTTAACTAATTAAATGTTACTGCCAGAGCTTGTCTGCCATTTTAAATCATAAATAGCATTGTTTTATTAATTTTTTTCTTTAATCAATAACTTTCCTGTTTATATGGAGTGAATTTTGTTCCATATTTGTTGCAGCAGCAAAGAACCTTTTTTGTAATTGGAACGTCCAACAGACCAATAGAGATGTGCCTTCACTCCTCACTCCAGAGGAAAGTCCACCCCAAGAAGGGAAGAGAAGATGAATTGTAAAACAATTTCAGAAATTAAATGAAGAAAAACCATGTTGAAAACATCTAGAGAAATTAAAATTTGAAAGAAAATCTAGCTAACACAAAATATTTAAAAGAATCCATCTTTTACAGTTTCATTTCTGAATGGCATTTTATCAAAAATATCTATTTACCAAAGTGTTTGCAAGAATATTGGAACAAAATTCACTCCATACCATTGGCCCACAGTCATTAAGCAGTAGGTTACAAGCGATAATGGGCCATAGGGTGGACACATATTTAGACCACATAACATGTAGTATATGCATTAATAACCCACAGTACAGGACAAGATAGATAACATTGTGACAGTAACTTAATGCTGAACTTTTTGCTGTATAGCAACAGAAAAAAAACACGGAGAATCCTGTCATGATTACTGTTAAGCACGGTGGAAGATTGTAAAACAATATGCAAGTAAAATATGAATTTATTTCAAAATTCTTTGTAGATCACTATTAATGGTGGCAACAACGTTTAGCCAAATCAAACTGGATTCCATTCAGAAAGCTGGAATATAGGATTACCTGCAGTTATGGTTGAGATGGTTTTATTATTCCTTTCCATTGGTGAGTGTGTAGAGCTTGAATTTGTACAGGGCTGCACTGTTGTCGTACTTCCAGTTCCTGCATGCGAAAAAGAAAAGATTTTGTAATGTTTATTAACAAACTGCCACACCTGAGAATAAGAAGCAGCAGAAACCAACATTTTATGCGTCATTCCTAAAAGGCTTTTTGGGACTTTTTAAACTTAATGTATTAAGTCAGGTGATATTAAGACTGTAGACAAACGATTTGGTAAGGATTTAGGAAAAGTTTATAACTACAAATGGAGAAAATATGTAGCACTGGTGGCCAGCTCACCAAAATTACTCTAGAAGCAGGTCGACCATCCAGGAGGTCAGAACTAGAGACTGACCGATGCAGTACTGTTAGGGCCGATATCGATACTGATTATTTTGACATCAGTCTAACTAATTTCTACGGAAGAGGATTAGGGCCACTGGGAAAAAAAAAAAAAAAAAGTTACGAGATTTTTTTTATTTTATTTCAGTATAGTATGGGAAAAAAGTCAGAATTCTGACTTTAATCTCAGAATTCTGACTTTAATCTCAGAATTTTGACTTTAATCTCAGAATTCTGACAATAAAAAAAAGTCAGAATTCTGAGATTAAAGTCAAAATTACAAAAACACTGAAAGGTCAACAATTAGTTTAAATGTAAAAAGTATCGGCATCGTATCGATATCGGTGATCCTGAGCCTGTATTTACTTGGAATCGTATCAATACAAAATTCCCGGTATCGCCCACATCTACTCTTTATTAGTATTTTTTTTTTTTTTATTCTTTAAATTGAACATTCACAGAACATTGAGCCTCTAACTGAAAAGCTAACTCTAAAACTCGGTCTTCCCCCATTTCTCAAGAAAAACACAAAAATTCTGGCAAACCAATTAATGAAGATAAAGATTACAATTAGCTATGCTGACTTAAATTTTTGTCCCTATATGTAACTCTTAGTTTTTCAGAAAAATCCAAATGAAAAAAGTTTTAGGCCCAAAACATGATTTTTTTTTTAACTACAATGTCCAATACAGTGGAATTTGTTGATACATTAAAATATACATTTCCTATATACATATCCACTCACAAGGTCAAAATACCCATATTTATAAAGATTTAGGAAACATACTAATGTCCTTCACCATTGTTTTGTTTTTACATTAGATATCATGTATGTAGTTGGGTGGTAGGGACACACATGGAAATAGGTCCGAGGCAGACTTATGTGGGATCTGATAAACTTACAGAAAATAAGGGAAAACACAGATCTCTGTACGTGAGAAAACCAGCAGAGTTTGACAGGGGGAATCTAAACAAGGTTGTGAGAGGATGCAGGATGAGGGGGATGGGGACAGAAGGATATGACTGAGCAAAAGATAAGGACTGACACCTCTATAAGAGTTTAAACCAGAATGCACCAAGAAGGAAAACCTCTGAGAAACTCAAAACAAAATATGGCACTGATATGAAAAAACCATGACAATAAAATGTAAACACAGACAGCTGCAAATGACAACATACACTGGCTTTATTGCCTCTTACCTGATGTGCTTTGGTGCATGTTAGCCTTAGAAGTGGAGTTTCTTGTAGACTGATGGCTTGTAGACGTTTCTGCAAAGAAAAAAATGTAACTATTTCTTTGCATTCCTGATTCTTTAATCATCTGAAGCTCATTTTAAGCAAAAAATAAACAAAACAAACTCAACAATATTTACTTTTGTTACAATCAGTGGTAATTCATAAGCATTTGGCGAGAAACATACAATGCAGCTGAATAGTTTTCGGTCACATCTGGATCAACCGCATCCTAATGAAAACTGGCCTTATAATTAGCTCCAGACTTAGTGGCTTTTTCCTCATCTATTCTAAAAGACCTCCAATTCCCGGCATGGGGGTCGGTTTGAAGATTTATTTTAGCTCAGCTTGTATTATTGATTGTATTTCAGCATTGATTCTGTTTTTACTTCAAATATAAAGAAATGACTGACAAACAAACAAAGGAAGCCTGGACGTGTCAAATTAAAATGAACCATAAACCTTCACAAAAATGTTTGCCTACAATTTGTGTCCTAAGGCAGCGGTTCCCAAACTTTACTACTGGGGCGTTCTTGGTTTACAAAATAAGTCAACTGCTGTAAATTAGAAATTGCAATACTTCTACTATTATAGACCTATGGAGGGTAAAAAGAGACAACATTTAATTGATTAATAAATGCATTTATCATTAAATAAAAATAAGATAAATAAATGTATCATGAAATAATCAATGTTAAATGAAATAAACAAGCATCTTATTTAATGCTCTATTTAATAATTAAATCTATGTTTTATTTACTTTATACAGGATTAAAAAGCTAAATGTACTAATAAATGAAATATAGAGGTGAATAATTTAATATGCCATTAAATAATTTTATATGCATTTTAAATTATGATGATAATTGATTAAATGTATTTATTTATTTATTTTTGTTAAGTAAATTTATTAACATTATTTTCACTACAGAACGTCACCCATTAAACTCAGTGGGCAGGACTGGACCCACTTCCATAGAAAACCTAACATCTGATTGGCTGCTTCTTGATGAGAAAGAAAATACAAATTCTTCCTGGATTTTCTTACTCTAAAGTTAGACTTATTCCTAACGCTGGTTGAATAAAACTTAGAAAATTTCTTGAAATTGATTTGCAGCACACTGGATAAGCAACTGCAGCAACTGTATCCCTAGTTTGGTGTCTAAAACGTAAATGAGAGGATTCTTTAAATTCAGATTAAAATTATACATCGTTATTATTGGGCTCCTTCCAGATTATCGAGATTAGGGCTACTAATATGTTACGGATCAGAACATTTTCACTGTGGGTGTCAGATTACGGCTGTGTTTTGATGCAACCTGTCCCTCGGACATCACATCCTGAATCGTGCCCTGCGGCCTCTTTAAATCTACAGAGGCAACCCCTTTCCCTGGACCTCAGTCTGGATGTAATGGAGAAACCTGAACTTCCAGCTGGACATCACGTTACACGTGGTGCAATCTCAGGAGGCGTAGTCCATTTTTGCTGCCAAAAGGACTACATCCCTCTTCGAAACAGCTGTGTGCTGAAATTTGGCAGAAACAGCTGCTCAATACAGAACCCATCCTCTCCTCTCCCATAGTGTAGCAGAAAGTTAAGAATCTTTACAATTCAATAGGTACCTTGCCTGGGCAAGTAAAAATAATAGTTAAATGCTGATAAGTTTATTAAAAGGATCTCCTGAATTATTTTTGCTGATGTTTATGGCAAACATTCAAATGATGTGTTTTTGATATTACAGCCGCCATTCCAGTCCTAATCTTTCTTTTGTCATGTTCTTGTCTGTGTTTTCTGTCGTTTGTCTCTGTTTACTTTTCTCCCAGTCCAAATGCACATTGTTACACATGCTGCCACTCGAATACGTGTGAGTCTGTCGGCCATCTTGTGAAATTCAGCTTGGTTTATACACTGCAAAAACGATCAAGAAATAAGTAAAAATTTCTCAAATTAAGTGTATTTACCCTTAATTTGAGTAGGTAAATTTGATGATTTGCCAATGAAATTAGTATCTTTACTCATAAAATAAGATACGTAGATAATATGAACTTGAAATAAGACAATGCAAATGTGTTTTTCTTATCTTAAATATAAATTTTCTTGTCCCATTGGCAAAGTGTCTCAATTTTGTCCTCAATTGGAGAAAAGATGCACTTATTTTAAGAAAAAATTACTTAGATTTCCATTTTTTGCAGTGTAGGTGATATTTATGACGATTTTGGGACAGTCCGACATCTTGTAGTTCCTTTCCTGTGGTTATTATCCTGCCCTTGCTGCTAATGTATCAGGGTTAGCCCGATTGCAGTAGTGTGTTTTGGCCTGTTAGATTAGCTGTGGATTAGCTGTGTTTGCCGTTAAAATCAGTTGCCATGGCACCCATCGTTTTTATAAACATCTTATTTCTGTCATATCCGAATGTCCGCCCTAATCAGTATATAGGGCACTATATAGCGGTTACGCCATGTTAAATGAGTTTCTGAACGTCTAGTGGATAAAAAAGGGATTATTATGTTCAATAAATAAAGCACCCATTCTGTTTTAATTGTTGTAGTGTGTGGTTATTTATACAGCAGTGACTGGTTTTATAAAAAGAGCAGAGCCTACTTCCTTTCAGTGACAAATTGAATAGACAGAAATACATATATGCCTTGTGGTTAATGATTACTAAGTGTGCTTGAATTATAAACCAAGTTACCGACATTTACTCATGGTGACGACATGTTGGATTTAACAGAAACGTTCAGCCGCAAAGGTAAGCGGTTAATAACACCTAGCAATTGAGCAAAATGTCAGTTATAATCATTTAACTAAAGATCATTACCTGGTTTTACCCTTGATAAGAATGACATTGATCATTAGCTATAACTTCCAGTTCCAGGTAATGACATATTCATCATCTGCTGGTAAAAACTGCACAACACCCACATCAGATTGTTGGCAATGCAAATCTGAAGAAGGTAATTTAGTTCAGGTTTTATGATTATGTGATAAAGTCCAAAAATACAGGAACAAAATGTATGATAGTTTATGTTTGATCATTGGGATCCAATTGCCATATGGCTCTAGATTATTTATCCAGGCCGATGATTCAGTTTTGGCTGGAAAAGATAAATATATCAAAAGTTATGTCCAAACTGAACCCAGCTCAACCAAACAACAGCAAAAAAAACAAAAAAAGATTGAGCAGAAACGATCTGATAAGGCAAGAGGTCAAGGTGAACTTGTTTAAAAGAATAAACAAACTTTATTTACCATACAGACCAACATGTTTATATCAAATATAGGGAAAAGATCAGGCTGATACAAAGACGCAATTTCCCTCTATGTGGAAAAAAAAAATGCGTGTTTTTGCACAGACCGAAACTACACTGTAACACTTTTAGTAATATGCTTGTAGCCAAAAATACCCTATTGTGTTTTACTGCAAAACTCCAAAAGCTTAATTTCCCTAACAGAATACTGCTTTAAATTTACCAAGTTCTATAAATACGGAGCAGTGGTGGAAAATAATGGAGTAAATTTACTTTATTACTATAATTAAGTACTTTTTTTTGTGTCCTTACTTTACTTAAGCCAGTTTTTGGGTGGGCACTTTATGACTTTCACTCCAATACATTTCAAAGTCAAGTATTGTACTTTCTACTCCACTATGTTTTGAGGAAGCTTCTATTTATTTCTTTTGGCTCAGCTTAGGTTTGTAAACCGCTGTTGCTGTTTTTCTTTCTTGAGATGCAATTTCATCATGTGGGATAGCTGCCCTCAGGGCTGAATTTGGACGCGACATGAAATTCCACAAATGTGAGAAACTCAGGGCTGATATAATTAGTAGTTTATGAATAGTGAGGAGAATCGAGACTCTCCTGTTTTATTTTTTTTGTGTTTCTAAATAATAATAATAATAATTTAGGTAGCTGTCCTTGTTTTTTGTGCCGTTTTTATACTGAAGTTCTTTCCAGGTGGTGTAGAATTAGTGGTTCTACGCATCAATACATCAGGTGGTTTCTGAAAGTTACAAGGTTCTTTAAAGTTACTTGTAAAACTATAAAGAAATGTACTGATATTACAACATTTAATTTGTATTGTTGAGTACTTAAGTACTTTTAATCAATGTACTTTTGAATATTTAAGTATTTTCCAAAGCTAGTGTTTCAATAATTGAACTTGAGTAGATGTTTGACTGAGTAGCTTTTACTCGTAGTTGAGTAAGATTTGACCATGAATATTAATACTTTCACTCAAGTACTACTGTTGAGTACTTCATCCATCAATGATACAGAGGACTTTAAATATCATGACTTCCAAAACAAACCAAAATATGTACATGGACTTGAAAGGATGACAACATTTTGGTGGTTCAACTTTTTTCCTTTGTGGCAACCAAGGCTCCTCAAACTTGTCTTTTCTAAGTGATATTTTAAGCATACTTGTGGTTCAAGGTGTTTTAATCATAAATTTGTTCCACTTCCTTTTTTTTAAATAAACCAAAACAACTTTCCACTCAGTTCTACTAGAACTGAAATAATAATCACAGTAAAGGATGTAAATACTGGTGAAGAAATTTACATTCCTGTGCTCCTGTGCACCACTTTTCAAAGTTAAATAGCCAGGACACTTTTTGAAATACGTCTATAAGCGTAATATTTTCTTCAAGTTTAAATTTACTTGCAGAAAGATTTAGTTGACAGAACTTGACTAAAAATTAAGAGAAAATAAAAGGCTAAATTGTAATTAAATATAAAACAGCTTATTTGGTTTTAGGTACAAAGACTATTACCGGTATTTAAAATATTTGTTTAAAAAAACATTCATGTTTTCTGTTAAAATTACAAATTCTCACAACCAGAGCGAAATTGATTTTAAAGAACATTGTCTTAGCTTTGACTCATTCAGAAATCTTCATTTATGTTATTAGTTAAAAATATATCTCAGAACACGTTTTTTCTATCTGCTTTTATTTCTCATAAAGTTGTTAACATTCATTCAGATGTAGAACAAAATGACTGTAGAAGTAAAATAGTTATTAAACAAAAGCTTTTCTCTGTAAATTAGGAAATAGTCATTTAAAACAATCACAGGTTTTATATGACAAGATTTTATAGATTGTTTCTTACCTAGTAGGGCTGTTGCCTGAGTTGTAGAACCTGATCAACAGCAAAAAGATAAGACAATTTATTCATCAACTTCACAGTTATTTCAATGTAAAACAGCATAAAAATCTGCAGGAAATCAATCCTAACCGCTAAATTACACTGTATGTTGATGATACATTGTTATTAATGCAAAAAGTCCAAATTCAAAGCTTTTTTATTTGGTATGAGGTAAGGACTTAAAGGGCTATAGACATGTTTCTGCATGAACGGCATTTAATAAATATGTACATATTTTAAGTGAGCGTTGAACTGAAAGGATCAGTTTTCAAGTAATGAACGTTAAAGTGAGAAATGATTGAGAATAATGAACGACACACGCAGCTCACATTCGCGATCAGTTGATAAACAGCCCCGTTTTTTATTATTATTATCTTTTTTTTTTTTTTTTTTTATTTAGAGAAATGTCAAAACTATATACTTTGATTGGTGTAAATATCAGCATGCATTCTCATTTGTTTAAAAAAAAAAATAAAGTCCACATTGAAAGTCATTTGATTCATTTAGTGGGCCATGTTAATGCATGATGATGAATGTAACAATAATAATAGTAGTAATAATAATTCAATATTAATAACAGCAACAACAATAATAATATAGTATAATGATGATAATAATATATGAAAAATAATAACACTCACTCACTCACTCAAATACTCTAATTTTGTTAGTTTTGGAATTGTTATCATAAACGCGTTCATATTCACCTCCTTGATGGGTTGGTGATTTTACCCTCTTTATTCACAGTTCCAAAATATATTTTAAAAAGTCACCATATTAGGAAGTTTTTTCGTCAAGTATGATTTATCGCAATATTTCACTTCGGTATTTCAAAAATCCTGGTTACGACCCTGTTGATAACAAAGTTTTTCATTGGAACTTTATGAATAAAGAAAGGAAGACTTGGACAAAAAAAAAAAACTAAAATTTTTGTGCAAACGGTGAGTTAATAAACAAGTCTGCACGTCATTCAAAGCGACACATTGAGTTAAAGCATCAGAGCTATCTCGGGAAATATCTGCTACTGAATGAGGAACGTAAGAAATCATTTTTGATATGAGCATATTATATTTACACAGCCCTTGCAAATTAATGTAAACAAAATGCACTCATATTCTGCACGAGGCAGATAACAGCTCTTATATTTTGTGCATGTCCTTTTGTTCTGTTTGGTTGTTGACGTTTTTTTTTTCCTTTTTATAAAATCCAAAACTGAAGACAGTTTAAAAAAAGAATTATAAGTAGTTTGCATTGTCTGTAAACATATATATAATGCATATAACTGCCTTGACAGAAGAGGGTACATTTTGTTAGAAAGACAAATGTACCCCCACTACCCCACCCATCCACAAAACAAAACCATTTCATACCTGAGTCCATTGCTGGAAGCTTTGGGTCTCCTAAAAAAAAGCAAAGAGGAGAGTGTCTTCATCAACTTAAAGGTGCATTATCAGATTATATGCCTTTACCAAAAAGACCAAAATCCAATTGATTATGATAAATTAAGGCTAT